GATGTGAGGGGGTGCACATGCATTCACACTGGGGCTGATGTGAGGGGATGCACATGCATTCACACTGGGGCTGATGTGAGGGGATGCACATGCACTCACACTGGGGCTGGAGACTTCAGGTGTCTTCTCTATCAACTTTCCACCTTGTTCCCTTGAGTAAGAGGCAGGGGCTCTTCATGAACCTGGAACTAGGCTGGTGGCCCATGAGCCCCATCAGTCAGCACTAGGGTCAGAGGACCATGCGGACAGGCTCAGCAGACAGGCTCAGCTTTTCAAACTGTGAATAGAGAGCGGAGCTCGGGCCCTTATACTTGAGCAGTAAGCACTTTTCCTTGCTGAGCCATCCCCCCAAGGCCCCCGAAACCTCATATTCTTATATGCACTGTTTAGGAAAGGAACTGTTTTATATACATTACAAAGTAGCTAAGAATACTAGTTTAAGCTACAATTATATAATACAACATGAGAAACATAATACAATTATAAAGATACACTAAAATTATCATTCGTATATGAAGTATATACCAAGGTTCAGTTCCTAGAATTTTAGAGCTGTAAATTCTAGAGCTTAAAACTATTTCATCCTTACCAGGGGACTTTCCTTGCGAGTTGCTTCTTCGCTCTCTGTATCTGGCTGGAGTGGATAAACCTGTGTCTTTACTAGACTTGCTAGCAGGCCCCATTTCTGAAATAAGGAATCCCATTTGTTCTGAAGGCAAGATATTCTCCGGGGGATTGGTCTGGCATTTTATACTGCTATCCACCTAAAATATTAAACACTCTTATTATACTTACCCCCAAATACCTACTAAAAGTTAATATATATTATCAAAGACATCCTATTAGAGGACAGGATCCCACAAACATGTTTTCCTGCTTATGAAGGTTATTACCCTTGATAGTGTTGACTTACCCAAATATTCAAGAGTAAGATGTACATTTTCCAGATTCTCAAGCCCTTGAAATGCACATAAAGCTAAAATATTTACTGATGAGCAAAGGAAGATTTACCATGAGACTGTATGCTTTTGATGACTTACAATATAGTAAGACATTTTAAGCACAATTAATGAAAACTGCTATGTATCCTTTCACCGTAGCATGTGTTTAGGCTGACACCCTTCCTAGTTGACACTGGGATGTCACTGATAGGCATGAACCAGCTGGAAGGTGTCCATGGGGAGTGAACACTATTTTTCTAGTTTTGTACTGAATACATTATCAAAATCGTATGTGCTTCATTCTCTATAAAATCTCCATCCATCCTCGTTTAGAGTTTCTTTGGTTCCAAAATTTTTTTTGGAATGTTAAAACCCTTGGTCAAGATAACAAACTTCTGCCATGTTGTTCTTTATAAGTTTATTTAAAATGTAACTACATTATGAAATAAAGCTAAAAGTTAAAGTTCAGCTTTCAAAAAGAGCTATAATAGTCAAATCTATTAAAGAAACCACTGTGTATATGCAGTTCAAGACAAGTACTCCAGGAGTTCATATATAATTATAAAGATACCAAAGCTTTTATTTCAATAGGAATACTTAAAATGAGGCTATCTTTACTGAAATTACATCATCATAACACATATTTTAATGGTCACAAAAAAGACAATGAATTGATAGAAATCTTAAATACATTTAGGATAAGGGTATAACCCAGAGGTACAATGCTTGCCTAGGTAGTGAAATTATATCAGGTGGGCATATCTTTTGGTATATCCAAATACAATAGCTTAACCAGAATGAGCAAAGATCTGTATTCCATCCCGTTAGTACTATCACCCCCTCACTATCCCTTCCACTATGCCCTCCCACTACCCCCCAGCACAACCCCCTACCAAAGGCAGGGAGAGAAAATCAAAATCTTTATACTTAAATACACATATAAACATTTTAAAAAGAACTACATATAACAATACTCTATTTAAACAGACAAAATGAATTGGGTATAATGACACATGCCTGTTATTCCATCACCTGGAAGTGAGGAGGAGAGGACACATAGGTCTAAGTCATTCTCGGCTAAAATGTGCATTCCAGGCCAACGTGGACTACATGGCTACCCTCATCTGTATACAGTAATTATAGATTTTTCTTATCTTCTTGGATCACCCAGGTGGGCCTGGAATTTGTGGCACACCTCCCACCTCAGCATCCCAAGGGCTGGGTTACTTTGGATGTACCTTTCATTAACTAGTTTTTGTTTGATTAGTAATGCAAGGTTAGTAAGAAATATGAACTCAGTAAAGTCATTATTAGCATTTTGTGATATTATAAAAAAGTAAGAAATTGGGGCTAGAGAAATGGCTCAGCAGTTAAAAGCACTGCTGCTCTTGCAGAGGACCCAGGTTCAATTCCCAGGCTGGCCCTGAACTCACTATATATGGCTCAGCCTGTCCTCCTGCTTCCACCTCTTAAGTGCTGGGATATAGGCATGTGCCACCAGCCTAAAAATAGTATTTAGACCCTAGTCAATCAATTTGCCTTTCTAGAGGTTCATCTTAGACTATACCACAGTTGGAGATTGGCTAGGGTTAAAGTAACTTCTTCTGGTTTCTTGTTTGTTTGTTTGTTTGTTTTTTCTTAACCATTGGGACATGATCCCTTTGGAAACCACAATGAACTGACATTAGATGCAAATAAACCCAAATAACATCTAGACAAATTCTTCACTAACATCTTTAGCAAAAAACAATGTATATTGTGAGCTTAGTTAGTACTCTTGTTTGTGCTCTTACCTGTTGTGTGCCGAATGGTAGCCCTTCCTGCACAAATACTACTGAAGACGGAGATGGATTATGATTTAGCTGCTCCTTCAGTTTGACATGAGTTTGTTGGATGGTTGCAGATTCCTGCATTGTGCTATTTTCCAAAGGTTGAGCTGTGTGGATGGTATAGATGTACTCAGGTGACTGTGGTAGAGAGCAGGTAATTGCTTGTTCTGTTCCAACCACAAAAGACGTAATATCTGAGCCTACAGGAGTGAGTGGCTCCAGCTGGCTAGCCTGACTGGTGGAAGATGGGTTGCTGCTGTTTGCATTGGGTAAGACATGCTGGCCTCTGTTAGCCTGAGATGACGGACACTGAGTCTCAACAGGCTCCACCTTTACCATCTCCAGCTTAGGGGAGGAATGCAACTCATCTACTATCTGAAAGACAGCCTCTAGATTTACTTCTGTCTTTTTATTTTCATCAGTAGCACTGCAAGGCCAATTAGAAGGCAGAAATTCAACTGGATAGGAAGATTGCATTGGAGGATTCTGGGAAAAGAGAAAATAGTACTGTTTGGATAGAAAATCAAGTATAAAATTAAGGAGGAAAGTAGTAACATTTAAGTTCATGAATGCTAAACACAGTAAAGTTGAGCTTACTACAAGAGCCTGAAAGTGGAGCTAGGACTGTATCTCAGTGACAGAGCACTGCCCAGCATGTTCAGGTGCTAGGTTCCATTACCAACATCACAAAAAGAAACAAAGAAAACCAAAAGGCTAATTGACTTTTCAGCAGAGTAGCTCCAAATGTGTTATTAGTAACATTGACTTAATATCTACCATACCTCAACCATGTTGAGTTTAGTACAAGAATGGACTGCTAGTTCTCAGGATAAAAATGTATGAAGTTAAAAGACTATAGTACCCAAATTTGCTGAGGCAATGTCTATAGTCTACAGTCTTCCATGAAGGCTGACAAAATGTCACTTTTATTTATCATACACTATTTAAGAAGTAAGGAAATTTTAAACACAGAATTCTCATAAGTCTATCAGTGCTTCTATCAATTCAGGGGGAGGGAGGCATTAATACTCTGTCCCAAATGATTTGGGGGAAATGGATGGAATGTCGAATGTCCTTTGGTTCCTGAGATCGGTTTAATAATAAAGCAATAGACCAGAATAGTTGTTGTTGTTATATTTATATCTTTATGATATCTTCTTCTAGCAGAGAAAGATGGAACACACCTCTAATCCCAGCATTTGGGAAGCAGAGACAGGAGGATCATTACAAGTTTCAGGCCAGAATGATCTACATAATCAATGTCAGGACAGCTAGGGCTACACATGTTCTTATAAATAATGCTTCAACTGGAGTAGACATTCAACATGTGCTTTATTATCTGATATTATAAAATAAGAATGCTGAAGAGCTGTAACTAAATAAGATATAGGAAGAGTTGACATTGTTGAATGTACTCCAAGGATTGTGTTGATGTGTACAGTAAATGCTGTAAACTCAAATAAGGTAAGCACCAAGTTACTACAGTCAGCATTACCATTTGAGTTCTTAACTATGTGCTAAACATACGCTAAGTGCTTTATATGCACTGCGTCATTCAGTTCTCAAAAGCCTTATGAAACGTGGTTTTTGTTGTTGTTGTGGTTTTTTTTTTTTTTTTGAGAAAAGGACTTACATCCACGGCTGGCCTCAAACTTCCTATATATGTGAGGATGGCCTTGAACTTTTGACCTTCCTACTTCCACCTGTACTGAGATTACAGTCATGAGACTCACATAATGTCTCAATTCCTTGAGAATTCCACCCAGGGCTTCATTCATCCCTGGAAAAGACTCTGCCAACTGAGTTTTACCCTATCCCAAAGATTTCCACTTTTTTTTTTTTTTGGTTTTTCAAGACAGAGTTTCTCTGTGTAGCCCTGGCTGTCCTGGAACTCACTCTGTAGACCAGGCTGGCCTCGGACTCAGAAATCCACCTGCCTCTGCCTCCCAAGTGCTGGGATTAAAGGCGTGTGCCATCATCGCCCGGCAGATTTCCACTTTAAAATGAGAAGATTTGCTTTCTAACTTTTTATTATTGTGCTGGATGATATGTGTACCATGACACACATGTGAAAGTCAAAGGACAACCCTATGAAGTCTGTTCTCTTTTCCCCTTCACATGGGTTCTGGGAATTGAATTTAGGTTATCAAGCTTGCACTGATCCATTGGCTGCTTGGGTTTTTGTTTGTTTGCTTGCTTGTTTGTTTTTTTTTTTTTGAGACAGGATCTCAGTACATAGCCCAAGCTAACTTGGAACTGGCTATGTAGCTCATGCTGTTCTCAAACTTGAAACCTCCTGCCTGCCTCTACCTTCGGGTACTGGAATCACAAGAATATGTGACCAACCATGTCTAGATAGAAACTGATGTTGAAATAACTGGCAGAGCCCAGGTCTGAGCTTAGGTTTGCCCAATTCTGTTCTTAGTCATGGCTCTTAACAGATCCACATTTTTCCTCCAGTTTTTTTTATTCTCTCTCTCTCTCTCTCTCTCTCTCTCTCTCTCTCTCCCTCCCTCTCTCTGTCCCTCCCTCCCTCCCTCCCTCCCTCCCTCCCCCCCCCTCTCTGTGTGTGTGTGTGTGTGTGTGTGTGTGTGTGTGTGTGTGTAGGATGCAGGACAACTTGTAGGAGACTGTTTTTGTCTCCTTCTACCTTGAAGGGCCTGGGGATTGAATTATGTTGTCTAACTTGGTGGCAAGTGCCTTATCTGCTCAGACATCTTCCTGGCCGCTCCTAGAATGACCTTTCAGGCATTCCCTCACTGATGCCAACAATGCCACTAAATATATCATGTAGATTTTTTTTTCTGAAATAGTGTTTCTCTGTGTATCCCTGGCTGTCCTAGAAGTCACTCTATAGACCAGGTTGGCCTTGAACTCAGAAATCCACCTGCCTCTGCCTCCCAAGTGCTGGGATTAAGGACATATGCCACTATATCTGGAACTTATTATACTGAAAAGTATCAATGGAATCGTAAATGCTTTGTGTCTTCCCATTTGTAAATTTTATGTGTACTTTCTTCCGTATTTCTTAGATTGATATCTATTGCATTGTGTACAATAAGAAGAGTTTAACAAATGGTCAGATAATACATTTAAAATTTGAACATAAGACATAAACATCATCGATATATTTATAGCATGGACTAAATAAAAGAATAAATTTACAAACAAGAACATTTAATTGTGGTTTAAGTATATCCTTTTAGAGAAGATGGACTTAAGGTATCAGGTCTGATAACACTGGCCATCAAAAATGGCCAACTAAGCCAGATGTGGTTGCTGACCTCCATCTGTAACCCCAGCATGCAGGAAGCTGAAGGATTTCCATGAGTTCACAGACAGCCTGGGCTACACAGGAGTTCCAGGAGAGCATAGGCTACAGAAGGAGGCCTTGTCAGCAAGGAAGGAAGGAAGGAAGGAAGGAAGGAAGGAAGGAAGGAAGGAAGGAAAGAAGGAAGGAAGGAAGGGAGGGAGGGAGGGAGGGAGGAAGGAAGAGGCAGACAGACAAAGGCTAACTAAGTCACCTTTATTGGATTCTACATTCTTCAAACAATGTCTCATTATCTATTTTCCATGTTTTCTATTTTAAAAATTAAAAATAGAAAGAAATGTCTTTTGTAGTGCCCTAATGCCACTAATAAAATATTCTCTTGGGCTGATGTTAGTGTTTGTCTAACATGTGAGGTCTTGGTTTCAATCCCCAGTACCACACACACACACACACACACACACAACACAACACACACACACACAAATTATTATCTGGACAAACACACAATTCCACTCTAAGAATTATAGCACTAAATAGATTCCATTTTCTTTCTTTCTTTCTTTCTTTCTTTCTTTCTTTCTTTCTTTCTTTCTTTCTTTCTTTTTTGTTTTGTTTTTGAGATGGTCTCTCTGTGTAGCCCTTGCTGTCTGGGAACTCACTCTGTAAACCAAGCTAGCCTTGAACTCAGAGATCTACCTGCCTCTGCCTCCCAAGCACCTGTCCTTATTCTAAAAACATCAATATAAACTATTTATATCAAAGCAGTTATTTCCTAAGAAACACAGACAAGATATTTGAAGTACAGTGCTTACAACATACATACTAAAGCTGAAGGGAACAGCAATTAAACTTTTCATTTTGAATATTCATATTCATCTTACCCTGTTAAAGCCCAGAACAGTACAATACAAAATAGTTTTCAGTGGTGATGTAAACATTGCATTTCTGTGCTGCAGAATTTTGTGGCCACAAACCATGAGAACAACTGGCATGAAACATGACTAAGGAAAGAGCTTTAATTTTTCATATATTTTTTAGTACTGGGAACTAAACCCAGTGCCCTGTGCATGACAAGCAAGTGCTCTACAACTTGCCTACATCCATAGCCCAGTAATGTAAAGTTACAAGACTCCATGTGAGCTGGGCTTGGTAGTATACACAGCTGGGCTCCAGCATTGCAGCAGAGACCTAAGGATCATGAGTTCAAGACCTGTCTCAAAAAAGGAAAGCAAAACCCAGAAACAGAAAGGCTACATGAAACCATTGGCTCCTATATGGGATCATGAGAGCCTGAATAACACTCAAGCATCATTTGCATCAGCCCGCTTTCACCTACAACTCAGAACTTTCAGCCCACAAACCCAGCTTATCTCTGCTTCTACTTTGACAATCTGCCAGGCTCATGTTCTTGTGAAGCACAGCGTGTGCAGGAGTCTTACCTGGAAGTAGTTACAGTGTGCATAGGAAGAGGCAGAAGGAGTGACGCAGCTGCTGAGGGCATCCATGTGGGTGGACGGAGAACAGCACTGTAGCACAGCTGGAACAGATTCAAACACAAACAAGCCATCAACCAAGTAAGGTGCAGAACTCAAGGAACTTCCCCCATGAATCTGGTCTATAATAAACTTACAATTGTTTATTGCTTTTTGAGACAAGATCTTGATGAATATCCCTGACTAACCTTGAACTCCTGCAACTCTCTTACACTCTTCCTCTTGAGCTAGATTTGTAAATGTGTGCACTATAACTGCTGTGATAGATTTTAAAAATGTTAGGTCTGTCTTTGTAATTTCTTTTTTGTTGTTTTGAGACAGGGTTTTATGCAAAACAGGCTGACCAAGACCGCACTTGTAGCTGAGGGCAACCGTGAATTCATGATCCTCCTGTCTCCATAACTCAAGGGCTAGGATTACAGGTGTGAACTACTGCCCTACCTCATGTGCTGCTGGGGATCAAGCCCAGGGCTCCATGTATAGGAGGCAGGTACTCTATCAACTATGCTACACCCCCAGCCAGTAAATGATTCTTTAGTACTTCAACATATTGTTATTTTTCTAACCAAATATTTACTCTTATTGAAAGTAATTTCATTTCATTAAAAAAAAAAGCAAACTACATTTGTAGTTCCCAAATAATTGTTTCAAACGTTTTAACAACTATTTGGAGATGGAAGGGCTTTGAAAGTAAAATAAGTAAATATAATCTCCAATCTACCACTCAACTATGTGATGGTTTTCTACTGAAAATGCAAAAAATATTTTTTGCCATTTAGATAAATGGTTAGGAATGTGGATCCTAGTTTCGGCCTGCCTGGTGTTTTAGCCTGACTCCATAATTCAGTATTTTATACATCTAAACATGGTTAATTACTTCAGGTCTCAATGTTTGCATTCTATTAACACAGGGACAATAACAGAACCTACCTGCTTACTTTAAGGGACATAACGAGCTACTGTGTACGGAAAGCACTCGGGACAGTGATGATGACAGCAGTCCAGTATTTCAATGAGAAAATGTGTAGCATGAGGAAACAACTCAAAAACATGTCTTCCAAACCTTTTCTTTATGGTTAAGACACCGTGAACAGCCGGGCAGTGGTGGCGCACGCCTTTAATCCCAGCACTTGGGAGGCAGAGGCAGGCGGATTTCTGAGTTTGAGGCCAGCCTGGTCTACAGAATGAGTTCCAGGACAGCCAGAGCTATACAGAGAAACCCTGTCTCAAAAAAAAAGAAAAAAAAAAGACACAGTGAACAGATCAAACTCTGCCCTGGAAGAGTAATACTTACAGGTCCAGTCTTAATAGACTGAGCTCTTTTCCAGAGAGAACCTCTAAAGAATGAATGAGCATCAGTTACACACAGTTAACCTTCGGGTTAAACAGAGGATGATGTGTGTTGAATACCTACCATGCTTCAGACACAATGGTGGATGTTTCATATGTATTGTTATCAAATGACAATCAGATTAACACTAGTTTAAAAAGTAAGTACACTAAACCTCAAAGATAGTAAGACATTTCCAACAGTAACAAAGCTGGGTGGTCTAACATGGGCTCGTGTTGTACTGAACTTGAGAGAATAAATATGTGGGGAAACAGAGTGCATCCAAGTAACTGTGGAGGATCTCTGGGGTAGCAGAACTGGGGAAGAGGAGTTTTTCCCTCTAGTTATTACTAAGGAAGCCTAGCCCTCTAGTGGCAGCAAAGGCCTAGTCAAGAGCTGCAGGGTTTTGTGTCCTCATTGTACTGAAAAGCAATGCTTCATTACAAATAAGCCAATGCAGGGATTACATTTATATCTCTGATATTTCAGTAGTAGGACTTCACTGTTTAAATTTTCTGAATAACTTAAACTATTTTCTAAAATAAACTGGTCAGAGGAATAAAAGTACAATATATGCCAGAGAATGCCATTATAATATGGAGTTACTCACTGCTTTTAGTGTATAATTAATTAGACAGAAAACCATAAATGCTAGTTGGTGTCCAGTAAGAGATGAGAGACAGACCATAAGGAGAGCCTGTGAAGTTACACTCTCCAAAGACTCCTGCTTATCAGTGCAGCCTTACTTCGTACAGTCAATGACAAGAGCAGGGTGTGGGATTAGCTAGTATGTAGAATAGGCAAAGCTAGTTGCCGAAATCCAAATTTGTGCTTAGTATATGAAAAAATAATGTACTGTACATTATGAAAGCATTAACATTATAAAGCCATGTTGTGTCCTCAGACATTCCTTCTATATAAAGAACTTGCTTGTCTTTCTGAAGGCAGTGCTCACTTAAAGAATTCACCTTTATGTATAAGAAAAAGCGTAAGCCAGGCATGGTGGCACACACCTTTAATTCCAGAACTTGGGAGGCAGAGATAGGCAGATCTCTGAGTTTAAGGCCAGCCTGGTCTACAGAGTGAGTTCCAAGACAGCCAGGGCTACACAGAGAAACCCTGTCTTGAAACAAAAAGAACAACCAAAAAAAAAAAAAAAAAAAAACCAAAAACCAAACCAACCAAATAAACAAACAAAAAACCAAAACCAAAAAAAGAAACAAACTAAACCAAAACAAAAATAAACTAAAAAGAAAACCCATAAATGACAAACTATAACCCATGTCATATGCAACACAGAGAAGACATTTAAATTTTCCCAATAATAAAAATCTAGAATTACTGAAAACCATTGTCCTCACTGTAGGTAATGCAAATACATCTGCACTTTATTCTATGGAAATCATCCAAACATATAATGTTTCAGACTTAAATCTACTCCAGGACAACACAGTGTTAATAGTGATAAAATGCCCACTCACATAAAGGCTCAAAAGAAACAGTGGATGTAATAATATATTTAATTTCAAGATCAAGTACTATAGCAAATAAAGCTGTAATATCTCATTTGTGGTGAAGCAAACATCGCCTGGGAACACAGTCCTTCATAATCTTTCACTTTACAATGGCGTAAAAATGATATGGATTCAGTATAAACCGTATGGTATGTTGAAACTTTATCTGTTCCTCAGCTCACTACTCCTGAGATGCTGGGCACCAACAGTGAGCCTCAGTGCCTGGCATCCAATACCCTACAATGCCCTACTATTAAATTATGAAGATTCTGAATGTTAGGCATATTAAATAAATTTTAGTAAACCTTCAACTTACGATCAGGTTATAGACCATGTTGGCTTAACTCTAACGTAAGTTGAAGTGTATCTGTATACTCAAATAAGTAAAAGTAGAAATCTGAAAAAAAAATTTTGTTGTTTTTGGTTTTTGAAGCAGGGTTTCTTGATGGGGCCTGGGTTGTCCTGAAACTCACTCTGTAGACCACACTGGTCTTGAACTCAGAAATCTACCTGCCTTTGCCTCGTGAGTACTGGGATTAAAGGCATGTGTCAGCACCATCTGGCCTGAAAAAAATATTTTTAAGTATAGTGATGAAAGGCTGGGCTCTAACACTCAGTAGAGAAGACTTTGAGTTTGAAGCCAACTTGGGATACACAGCAACATTCTTTCTCAAACAAAACAAAAAAAAAATTCTATATCCATGTTCAAGGTAGCAATAATTTTAAAAAATGGAAGCAATCTAGAATCCTTCAATAGATAAATATTAGTACTTATTATATTATTATTAATTCATCTTTAAAAGGAAATTTTGACACATATTACAAAGTAGATGAATCTTTAAGATATTATGATGGGGCTGGAGAGATGTCTCAGCAGTTAAGAGCAATGACTGCTCTTCCAGAGGTCCTGAGTTCAATTCCCAGTAACCCCATGGTGGCTTACAACCATCTGTAATGGGATCTGATGTCCTCTTCTGGTGTGTCTGAGGACAGCTACAATGTACTCATATACATAAAATAAATAAATCTTTTTAAAAAGATATTATGATGAATTAAATATGCCAGTAACAAAAGGGTAACCATTATATGACATTACATGAGGGCCCTAGGTATTCAGTATTCATACATAGAAAATTAGTGACTGCCAAAGACCAGAAAAAGGAAGACCGCCAGGCAGTGGTGGTACATGCCTTTAATCCCAGCACTTGGGAGGCAGAGGCAGGCGGATTTCTGAGTTCGAGGCCAGCCTGGTCTACAGAGTGAGTTCCAGGACAGCCAGGGCTACACAGAGAAACCCTGTCTTGGAAAAAAAAAAAAAAAAAAAAGGAAAACTGAAAAGCTACTGGTTAGAAAGTATGGTGTCACTTGCATGGTGATAGCGTTGGAAATGCTGAGTTAGTGAATATTGTGACTGTAGTGACAATGAATTGTACAATTTACAATGACAAATTTACACATTAAATTTTATGTAATTCAACTTATAGGAGGTATTCAGAATAGTCAAATTCACAAACAGAGACAGCAGGCTGCTCAGGGCTGGAAAAGAAAGGGAATGGGAGTTGGCGTCTAATAGGTCCTGATTTGGGACTGAGAGACGAAAAGGTCTGCAGATGCACAACAGTAGTGGTAAATGTGAAATGTCAGGGAAGAGTTAATGTTTGATTATGCACATTTTATTAGAAAGATGGTGGGCATGGTTTGCTCTGTTTCTTCTGGGAGATAAAGAACTTTCTGGTGACAAGTTCCTCTTTTCCATAAGCACTAAGTCCTACCTGATTACAGTAACAAAACACTGGGATATGCATTAATCTGTATTCTATATTTGTTTCTGTACATCATGTAAGATTAAAACTCTAAAAACCAAACTTTTGGATGTAAGCAAAATTATAAATGGTAGAGTACTTACCTAGCATGTGCAGAGACCTAGGCTCTACCCAAACGCTGAACGAGAACCCCACCTTCCCCCAAAAAGCACTTTAAAAAACAATGAGAGTTTCGCAAGAGATGGCATTTCTGTTTCCATTATTTGTGAATCTGTATACATCAATAGCTTATACAATCAGTAGATGTGATAGAAAACTCAAAAACCAAACCAACAAAACCGTTAATCCCAGCCCGTGGGAGGCACACGCAGGCAGACCTCTGTGGGCTCCAGGCCAGCCAGAGCCACAAGTGAGGATGATGAGAAGTAGCTTTTTTG